AACAGCATACGGCAGTAATATGCAACGCACAGGCTATCCCAAGCTCGATGGATCCAATCAAGACGCACAAATCATATTCACAGATCGCAGAAGAACCTGTAGCCTAATGGTAGGGGTATTCTGAAGTCCACATGCCATTCTTTAATGATCAGATGTAGCTCGATTTCTACTGGTGGTACACATTTCATATTCACAAGGAGCATTTAGTTAGCCACTATTTGTATGAGTTCTTCGGTTTGCCGGTCGATTTAAATTAAAGATCAATGGGCTTCGCTAGCATGTTTCAAATGAAGTTGAATCAATACTGTATGTGAGTGCACGAAAGATCGCAGTTCAAATTAAAAACCCTCAGATTGCGTATTAGAACGAAACTTCTCAAATGGTTTATCATCTTTTTATGCGAGCAAATGTTTCACGCAGCTTCCAAAATAGAGGGTTAATAATCGGCTAACAATCGGCCACCTATAAGAGCCCTTCGGCCATGCCACCTGAAGGAAGCCTAAGAGCTGGCACACCCAAGCCTAGACGGGAGTAGTCAAGATGCCGGGGTTAGGTTCGAATCACGGACCTTGTGATCACTAGGTTCGCGCCTAATTTTTATTAACAGTATTCTGTTGATTCTTGAAGATCCACATAGTTGTGGTACCCTCACCCCTGATATTATACAGTACACCCAGCGATAACTTTTACAATACCTCGACACGGTCTGGACCACGATCTGTGGCATTTCGTCTATGGATAATTCTTGTGCCGTAACATCAGCTACTCTCGGGCAGTTTATGTGCATCAGTGGGCTATCTGTATAAAAATCCTTTGCAGTGACCAGTCCTCCGTATTTTGGTCGGCCTAATCACATTTTTGTGATGACCAACGGAGAGCACATTTCCATACGTTTGGTAGCGGATGCTTTGGCTAATTTGCTTCTAATATGTTGTCCGAAAATATGTTTATGTCTTATTCACAGAGACTTGTGTTACAGAGACCTGTTACAGAGATCTGTGTTACACTATCCTCTACGGCGTGCTTGCTTTTGAATCAACTGTTCCCAACCTCTTCGTCGGAGGCCGCCGGAAGGATCTATTACCTCATCTGTCTGTTAGCAACGCAAGCCTGTCCAAAAAGTCCATTCCGCTTCCTCAACAGGTACGGGGGCTCACATAGTAGTTTGATTCTGATACATATTTGTTCAAAAACCTGTTTGCTAAAAGCTAAAACATTGTCCATAAAACCAAAAACCGTTAACGTTTTTCGAGAGCCAACTAACAACTTTGCTTTGGATTCACTTCATTATGGCCTATTAAGACGTGACACGAATCGTTCCATGAATAAAATGATCATTCCGATGACTATTGAGCCCGCGATCGAATTGTGGGACCGTCCATGCGTTTGTCATTAGCCTCAATATCGTTGAACAAAATGCAATGACGTTTGGTTGGCGAGCCATGATGACCGTTAGAAAATAAATCGGAATCTAAGGGACTTGCACAACCAAAAAATATTTGAAAATGAGCGCTTCAAATGTATAGAAGGGCCTCAAGGTCCAATCCCAATGTCTATTGCAATGAACAGTGCATTCGCTTCATCACAACAGCACGTCTTGGTAACTCGAGGACTGCCGCTTTGTCCTGCTTGAAATTGTTTATTTTCATGTTGACTAATAGCAAGCAGTGGCAGTAACAACTCGTTTCGTGTGCCTATATGCGCATATTTATTGAGAAACAGACTATCACCTGTTGACAGAACTAAATTCGCTGTACACATGATTTTTAATATATATACTTCCAAAATTCTGGTACATCCACAGAAATTTTCCCACCAGTGGTCAGAAAACTTTCCGTTGGTGAATTCAGGCGAAGTAAACCAGGGGTTATTTGAACGCCTTCACACTCCCTTCGTCGAACTATTTCAGCTGTTTGAGGTCTGCAGACACATTGGGCGGCGGCCTTGCTGATGTCTCACAGAACAGTTGTAAGTCTAATGTGCTTTCATCTCAGCCTGGACAGCCTAAGTGATGTCAGCAATTCTGATCTGTACGTGCAACTCCTAGAGTAGTGAGTGTTCTCCGACGTTCACTAGTAGTAGACAAGAAAAAAGTAACAATAATAAAACAAAGCATCAGTCTGTACTTCGTACCTCGTCGCGAATTAGACTCTTCCCCATCACATGGGTCCAATAGAATCAAATCCGGCCAGATTGCGAAAGCGCATGCCAAATAAGTACACTGACTCAACAAAGATATGGATTCAAACTCACTATGAAATGATGAACAACAGGCCAAAATTTGGATACGAGCCCACAAAAAAGCATCTTAAATTGAGTTTTGGAAGCCAAAAGGTAACTGACTGGAAATTAATTATGCAACTGTACCCTGTTGTACTGGTATACTTTTGTCGTGCTCATTTTTACTCTTCTCTGTTTTGCTTAGGTTTAGTCAGGACACAGTGCTTCAAATTGTGCGTTTTGTTTTCCATCGACCGGTTAGAAATGAGATCGAGATAACTTGGTGATTGAGTCCAAAACAAATTGGACTGAATGTCCGTGGTTCGAACCCAACCCAAGCATCTCGACTTGTCCGACCTAGACTTGGAAACCATAGCAGTGCCTCACCCCTTGTGCTTCTTTCGGGTAGCGTGGTAGCCAAGCACCGAAAGACCGCCCATTATGCAGAAAAGCATGAGTTGTCCTAAAGGTTTACTGCTAAGTGAGGTCAAGTCTTACAGGAGGAGCCCAGGGTAGCACAGATAACAGGAAGTTACGAACTTGCTGTGCTGTCGATCGTGATGATCATGAAGTCGAGTCTCACATCACGCTCGTTTTGACGCAATTATTCGTGTGAATCCACACCAAAGGGAAGCACTGGACTCGGGTTTCGCTCTTGTTAGAGCTCATCAGCAGGGCATATCCAATGGCCGTACCGGGGTTTGAACTCCGGACACCTGACATGCAAGGCAAACGTGTTACCACTATTCCACCAACGCACGTTGGACGCATCTGAATTCTCACGTCTGAACGGGCGAGTGTGTTTACGCTTGAGCGATGTAACTGGTGTGCCATTGGATATGCACTGCTGCTGAGCTCTAATAAGAGGGAAACTCGAGTCCAGTGCTTCCCACCCTTTGGTATGGATTCACCAAAATAGTTGCGCCAGAACAGGAGGACGACTGTTCAAACGAGAGTGATGTGAATGTGGACAATACACATCCCGCAAACCCCATAAAATTACGAAGTGTTTCGACATTACTGGCTATGATGCTCCTTAAAAAAATATTTGCAGAAGGCGAAGTTGTTGACGCGCTTCAGTCCATGTAAACGAACATCCTGTCAGTGTTATTGCAAAAGAGAAATGTGTCAGAAAACTAATTATAACGGCTCAACTCGGAGTAGACGATAGGATTACCCCTCAAAAATACGTAAGCGGACTTTAAAATCTGTGTGAGTAGACATGTTCATCCAACACATACCATGCCTTCGGTAGACATGCGCAGCTTCTCCGGCTTTGGCGCAACCTGTTTGGCTGAAGTCAACCACTTCTTTGGAATCTCGATATCATTAGCTCTGCAAGTGAAAAATAGTGCAACAGTTCATTATAAACGCCCGGACAATGGATTCTTAAACATAGGTGAGTGGAAGACGGATTACCCGAGGGGGGTATAGATCGGTTGTCATCAGGAATTTACATGATTATCTCGGATATAGGAGATATAGGAACAATCTTATACTTTGTCAAAATAGTTTTTATATGGTTGGCGCAGGTTAGCAGTTTTAATATTACCGTGTTAGATTTTTAGAAATACAATCAGCGAAAATTATTTCACAAATGAATTTGAAGTAAGCAAGAAAAAACATTCTGGAAGGATCATAGAACAGACTGTCACGAAATTAGACGAGCGGAAATAATCCCCTCAGAATATCTGTTTTAAATTTCGGATCTGCTTTCCACTACTTTGTGACAAAATTATCGAGTTTCGCTGCAAGCTTTTGGGTCATCGGAACGCCCACAGGTGAAAACACGAAACCAAGATTCCATTTAATGTCCAAAGACAGGAACAACCTTTTCAACCTCATTGTAAGGCTAACGTTGACAACCTCGTCAGTCATTGCATCGCCACTGGTTGCTCGTTCATTCAATACGTAGATACGCTTGTAACACGATTTCTGCGGTCGATGTACAGTAAAACTCCTTTAGACGAGGATGAAAACCCGGCAGTTTGGTTCATGAAGTGTAGACGAAGAGAATTAGAAGAACAAAAGTCAAAATTATGGGCATATTTAAAAAACATGACACGATTCAAACCATCAATAGAGAGATCGACAGGAAAATGGGTAATGAAAGCGCATTGGTGTTTCACACAGAGGAGCAGAGAACAGAGACCAGTTTTAGTTTGATATGCCTTGAGTGGAAGCAAAAATAATAGTCGGGCTAATGGAGGGGAAAGCACATTTAGTTAATTGATACATGAAACGAACTAATCGATAGGTCATAACGTCTGTTTTGTATGCCGCCCAAATGACTTGATGGTTTGCAAACAATGAAGCCTGCGCCAATCGCACTTCATGTTTTGTGCAAGATAGCTGCTTAAATACCCGAAATATCAGTGTAAAATTCATTGCATCTAATCGTCGACAGGGAATCTGAGAGACTGCACTGAAGGCCTGCTGTGACCTTGTCATGCAGCACAGCTCGTATTTTCAAATTGTGGACCATCAACGGCACAAGAACACCTCC